CTTTGGATAAAAGCGTCTGCTAAATGACTAAATGTAAATGTACTTGAATAATAAAAAAACTAAAAAAACTTGAAGTATTTACTTTTTAAATGCCTATTTCACAAGCAATTAATCCACTATCATTAGTTAAGGCATTACAATAGATTATATAAGTAAGTTATATGAGTAAACATTTCAAGTTTTTTAAGTTCATTTTTATAATGTTTTTTATAACACTGATAGAATAATATTATTCTTTTCTATTTAATACGCACATGGTCTAATTCGATTCAGTGTCTTTTAATGTTGTGTACATTGAATTCACAGAGCCATCAAAAGTATGGGTATTTTTTTTTCATTTAAGTACAAGAATGATTTGAAATCTCTAGTCAAAGACAGTTACAGGTACCGAGTGAAGCATGGCTAGTAGGTACTAGTTGTATGGCTGGCGAAATGAGCATTGCAGAAGCCCAGTCTAAATATTACAAAAACCGGGCAGCCCATTCAAAGAGGTAGGGTCTGATTTTCTGATGTTGTTAAACACAACTCTGCATGACCCGGGCGGTTGTAGAGATGTGGACAATGAAGTTTAACTGGTCTTCAAACACATCCCCCAGGTTCCTGGCTGACTTTTATTTGAGTGTGTGGGGTGTTGGTAACTCCTGCAGCTAAAGCTTTGGTGAAATGAGATTTCTTATGCATAAAACAACGGTAGAGCAAGTTTTTTTTTTTTTTTTGCTGAAATATCCTGCAGGGTTGCTGACATATGACTCTTTTGTTGGATCTCTTGGAGTTAATGAAAAACAACCATATTTTCCAAGAGATTTTTCAGGTTTTTTTTCTTTAAATGAACATTTAAGGGTGTAAGTCAAATAAACAAATTTTACCCCTAAGCTTTTTTGTGTGGATTTTAAGGGTTCGATTTGATACTTCCGTAAGCCGCTGCTTTCATTAAACAGATATTTATTTGACTCTGTATACGTTTTATGAAAGTATCTCATTAAAATAGAAAAAGCATTTTGAGTCGAATTCTTGTATGTTCCAATAGCCCATCAGGCTCTGGGTATGACAAATAAAACTCACTGTTAGTGCGCCGTGATGTTTTTCTAATCTTTCCCTGAGGTAAACTTCCTTGTACCAAACAGATAAATCCTCCCATAATCCGTTGCAATTGCAGTGCGCATCAACACATTCTGACAATTCTATACACCAGTGACCACAAATACTCCTCACCCATTTGGACCCCACTATAGGCTGTGTTTTGGTCAGTTTGTGTGTTTTTTCTCCCTCAATTCCATGAGCCATTCAGGAACGACACATACCTGGAGGGAAGCCATCTTGGTTAATTTTTAGGGCAAATTTATCAGCAACTGATCAGATCATTGACCTTCGGTGCAGTACCCCGGTATTTCAAGGACCGATGTCCCATGAAAAACAGGTTTTTGAAGAATGCCACAGTGATCTAGAGACATTTTATGAGGCGGCCCCGTACTTTATGACTGGCAATAAAGAAAAGAGAAACTCGACGGAAAGCTTTTTCCTCAGCAAAAACCGGAGGCAGAGGGAGGTAATTATCTGGCTGAACTTTTTTTGCTGTTACTTACAATGTCTTAGGGGGCCGGGAGAGCTGATAGATATCGCTATACTCCGTGTTGAGTCAAAATGACGGGGGGCATTTTACTCTGGAACAAAGGGAGCCTCATTTCACTGTGGCAGTGTCTGAAAAGATAGCATGTGTCTGAACTTGGAGCAATGCACACTGGAGATGTGGAGTTCATCTCGTTTCGGCCACGTATTCTCCTCTCTCCCTGTCCTTTTTCTTCTTAGCGTGTTTGCTGGGCTCCTGAGGATGTACTGGTGCTGTGGCTGATTGTTTGGAGCTGTTCGTCTCCTCTCAGTCAGATGCATACATCTCATATATGTGTTTCTAATGATCAGCTCTTTAATGTTGAGGAGAAGTAAATCACAGTAGTCACAGCGCTCTTTATGTGATTTAGCATGGGAGGTATTTTATCTCACGCCTGTTAAAGAGGAATGCTGTGTTGTTGCTGTTTTTGTGGTTGGTGGTGGTGGTGTTTTCAGATGTTCTCGACAAGATTTGAGCAAATGCACTTAGCCTTTAGCTTATACTGTTTTTTTCTTTGAAACATGCATATATGTAGGGCTGCATGATAATGTTTAAACTGGATGGGTAATCACAATTATTTTGCTCAAAAAATATGGTTAATGATCACAATCACTGTCATTTTAATTTATTACATTTCATAATTATCAGAATTATTGCACTTTTACAAAAGCACAAATCAAGAGATCGTCAACTTGTATGGATTGCTCTCAGATATAGGTGCAGCAAACAGCACAAACTCTTGAAAAAAAAAACAGACTGGCTGTATTGCACTTTTATTTGAGCAGAATATCTCAATAGAGGTCACTAAACTCCAAATTACATGCTTGCCGGTGTTTTCAGCTCATCAGCGGTTTTTTCCGTTATGTAGAGAGCATGTGTGCACATGGTTGCCAGGTTAGGAAGAATAAATAAACATTTTGGCAGAAAATGTATTGATTTAAGGGAAAAGTACTGATTGGGCAATTTAACCTCTTGACATCTGGCAACCGCAACTATGAACATTCGTGGAAGTTTGTTACCAATGGATGATGACACAAATGGCAAATTAAAATGTAACAATTTCAGGATAAATAACTGGGTAAGTAGTGCAGATGATTATACTTAAATTGAGAGAAGCAGTAATCTTGGTCATGATTAAATTACAATATATTATGCAGCACTACATACATATAATATATTTTTAAATAATTTGTATATTATTTTGTATTATTTCAAATCATTTGTATTTTTTAAATTTTATATAAAAATAGAAATGGCAGCAAGCAGAAGTAACTAAGATATTTAAAAAACAAATTTTGTCAATACAATGAAAGTCAGTGGGGTCCAATGTTATTTTGGACCCCATTGACCTTCGTAGTATGGACAAGACCAGTTGAAACATTGTTCAAAATATCTTTGTGATCAACACTCTTTTTAGGTGTCTTTAAATTAAACTGTCTCTTTAAATTTTGCATTATTTATGTAATCCACATCATATGCGGACAAAATATATTTATTGTGGCCACGAAAAAATGATTTGTTGCTTCATTTTATTAATTGGTTCT